GTAGATAAAAGTAAGTTAATTCTATGATATGTTCTTTGAAAGCTCCTTAGAAGCTTTATAGACAGTGTTTTGACTTTATAGGTGTCTTTAATTGACTTTTTGGATTAAAAACATAGTCAACAAGTTGGCCATGTGCCACACATATTATTAGCTTGAAGATTAAGCTAATTGTGTGGCCTACGTGCAGAAAAACTTACCTTGTAAGTCAAAGCATGTGTCCTATAAAGTCAATACACATTGGAGGTCCTATAGAATATTGCCATGTAGCCCTTAATTAGATAATATATATATAGAGACAAGAATGAAGCCTTCTTCACTCTTATCAACTCCTTTCTTGCTTCTAGTCTAATTTCAAGAGTCTCAAGTTTTCTTGTCTTTTGGTAATAAGCCTTTCCAATTTTTTTTAATATATGTACTTTCTTATTTCTATTTTGTCACTCTTTTTTTGACATAGATTTCATTGGTTTATGTATCATCTTTTAGTTCATATCCTTGATACCTTGGAAATCTTTAGAAAGTCAAATATTTATTGATGCTTTAACAACTTTTAACTATAAAGTATTTTTATATAGAGGATTTATTATATTTTATATAATTAGATATTTTACATGGTTGGCCTTTTGACTGATTAACTGCTAGATTTTCTAACTACATAATTATTGACGCTACTTCTAATAGTTGAACTCATACTATTTCATGTTAGTGAGGGAGTAATAAATCAAAAGTTTGATCAACATCTAAGACATTGTGAACGTCTTTGGAACTTGTAAATATATTTTGTAATAGTAAAGGAGGTAATAGACTAGTAGTATTTATTAAACATTATATATATATATATATATATATATATATATATTAAACTTAGTAGAAAGAATAGTCTATTTTTTACCCATCAACTATCTTCGAAGAGAACAAAGATCAGAGTATGTAGCAAATACAATTCGCCGCATATTAGATTTTCTCAATATATAATATCTCTTATAACTTGCTAAAATATTTTTTTGAATGTATCTGTCACGGACATACATATAATTACCTATATGAATAGATAAAAGTATGTAAAAGTAGGTTAATTGTGTAATATCTTCTAGAGAAGCTTCTTAGAAGCTTCATAGACGCTGCTTTGACTTTATAGGAGTCTATAGTTGACTTTTAGGTTAGAAACTTGGTCAACAAGTTAGCCATGTGCCACGCATGTTGGAAGCTTAAAGAACAAGCTAACTACGTGGTCCATCCATAGAAAACTTGCCTTGCAAGCAAAGGCATGTGGCCTAGAAAGTCAACATATATTGGAGGTCTTATAGAACATCGCCACATGGCTTCTAGTTAGATAGTATATATAGAGGCAAGAGTGAAGCCCTCTTCACTCTTGTCAACTCCTTTCTTGCTTCTAGTCTAGTTTCAAGGGTCTCTAGTTTTCTTGTATTTTGGCAATAGCCATTCCAGTTTCTTTCTTAATATACATATTTCTATTTTGTCCTATTTCTTTTTGAGAAAAGTCTCACTTACTCTTTAGCTTTCATCGAGTTCTTGTCCCTGACAGTATCATATGTAAAGTAAAACACTAGTAGTAAAAAAATATTTTCAATGGCATTTATTAATATCGAATCTCTATCAAATCCAATGCAAATAGATCTAATTCTTCCATACAATTAGAGATGTTGAATAAATATCAAAGAAAAAAAAACTTTTGTTTCTTCTTACAAAAAAGTAATAGTAATTGTGAACAAAGTATTAAAGCTTGTTATTCCTACTACATGCAACATAGGTATTTCGAATAAATTTGTCTTATGTATAAAATCTATAATAATAAAAGAGATATATCTCTTTATTAATTCAACATATTTTACATATCCAAAAAAAAAGATATTACCTTATTCTCATCATCATATTAATAAGTAAATTGATATCCACCATTGTGTAAGGTTTTCATAAGTGACACAATAGAAACACAACTATCAAGCACTATTTGATGCAATTTTTGATGCTTATTATAAATAGTACATGCAATAACTCAACTTTTAGGATTTCTTTCATATAGAGCATTCATAATATTTTTTGGTGGTAAGACTATTACAATCATTTAAGTTGACATCTTCTTTTCTACGTATTAGAATTGTCTTGGAATTGAATATCCTATATGACATGATGAAGGTACATAATTGTATTCATTATTTTGTAATATAAAGTACCACTATATAGTACTTTATATAAACTTTGTATAGAATGTAAAATGACATTCAATTAATTGACTTGTTGTATTTTGTTGACAAATGAGATTAATTTGCTCATTATGAACTTGTCATCTATCACATTTAAAATCAATACAATCTTCCTCAAACTAATACTCACAAACTTTATATCCTAGAGTATATGCAATCTTGTCTATACTCTCTTTTATGTCTTCAAAACAATAAAAAATTCCCTCACATAGAAGAGAAATAAAAGATATAATATCCATTATAAAATTTGAATAATCCTAAAGTATATATCCTTTTCACTCTTTGAATATTGAATACAATATCAAACATATCACAATAATACAATATAAACTGACCATGACAATAACTTAATATATAATATGAAAGGTAGAAAAAAAGAAAGATACTATTAAATATAGCCATTGATAAGCAGTTATTATTATTGGCTATATAAACATTATTATATCAATTTTATTTTAAAATAGTGATTATTATATCAATCAAAAAGAAAATTAGAATAATAATGATATAAATAAGGCTAATAGTTCATATGTTTTGTGACGATGGATGGATATATTTAATAAAATATTTGATCAATTTGATATTCTCATATATATATATATATATATATATATATATATATATATTTATATATGAATAAAATAGATATATTATCAATATAAATATATACATATTTATTATATAATAGAATATAATGTAATGTATATATGTTGTCCTTGAGTTTTTAAGAGATAATAAAAAAAATTATAATAAATTGTGTCTTTAATTTTTTTTTAAATTTTTAAAAAAAAAATCACAAAAAAAAATTATATGAACTTTTAAGAACAAAAAAATATGTTGAATGGTGAAATTTATAAATAATTTTAAAATATTAATTACAGTAACATAGCATTAAAATGATTAATTATTATAAAATTAAGTTGATTAATTATTATAGAATTAAATTGATCAATTAGTAATTTATTACATAAAATTTTGAAGAAAAAAAAATGACTTTAAAAAAAATCAATTATATTTGGTCTATACCACAAATTATTTATATATAATATGTCTATTTTTTTGCATTGAGATATAAAAAATTTCTATTAAATATTGCATTTGCTATTACATTTAATTTGATAAGTAGACTTACATTAAAAATTATTAGCTTGAATCTAAAATTAATATATCTTTTTGAATATTCAATTGTATATTACATCCTTATTTGTAATATCTTTTAAAAACTTAAAGTTTTATTAGAAAGTAATATAATAAAATATATTAGATTAATGCATAATGCTCATATAGAAGCATCTGAGTAATAAGCATATCTAGCTTGCAATTGTTTTTGTTTGATTTTTTATTTTTATAAGATGTTAAAAGTCTAAATCTATGTAGTAAAATTGTTTTTGAGGTGCTATCTTTATAAGTTGCAATTGTTCAAATAAAATGCAACTATTGTCACATATACATTATACAAGAGACCAAACAAGAAGTTGAATGGAAGAGTTTCAACAAAAAAGCTAACAAGAACTTAATTAAAGTAAATGAGTACAAGATCAATACCAAGAGAGATGAACTCAAGCTCCAAGAAATGTGTTATCAAGATTGAGGATCCTCTCAACCTTGACTCCAATATATATTAGGTATTAGGAGGCTTCTTGAGAAGTTTCTACATTCCTTATAGATGAAGAAATCTTAAGAAGCTTCTTAAGAAGTTTTATGTTGCTTGAAGATGAAGCAATTATAAGAAGCTTCTCGGACAACTTCTTTAATCCTCCTAAAACTTTCTAGAATTTTTTAGAATATTATAAGAATCTTTTAAGAATCTTTTAGAATATTCTAAAAATATTCCTATAATCTTCTTGTTGTATGTCTATAATATCTATATTTTAAATTTACTTATCATATTTTATTTTTTAATGTTGAATAAATTAATAGATTTTAAAGTCTTAAATTCATATATTTCAATTTTAGATAGAGATATTTGTACACATTAAATATTGCCTTTATCCCTATACTATCTTCTTGATTTACTTAGATTAATGACATACATAAGTTTTTTATGTGTTTGGTAGTTATAGATGAACTTTTAAAGCATAAAAAAGTCATAGCATTTTTTTATATCAAAAAATAATAAAATAATAAAATATTACAATAATTTTTTTGTGTATAAATAAAATAGTGATTGATTTGGTTTATAAAATAATTAAAATAAAAATACCAATTATAATGTATTGTGATAGAACTTTCGTAATTGATTGATTTTTTTTTTAGTATAATTTTTTTATATACTGATTTAACAATGCCAAAACAATCTTGCAAAACAATAAAGGATTTACAAGACTCTAATTCAAATTAAGAAGAATTAGATTATTTAGCAACAACTAAAAAAATATCGTTTGGCTAGTAGAATCTCATGACAAGTTTCAATTCATATATCAAAGAACTTCTCAAATATGTAAAAATCAAACTCTTTTATACCATTTCAATTTATTTATTTATTTAATTAGAGTCACATGCACTACAATATATTTATATATATATATATATATATATTATGTGTATTTCTATCTATTTATCTATCTACATCTCCATAAATTTATGTGTATATATAGAGTCACATGCACTACAAAATATATATATATATATATATATATATTATGTGTATTTCTATCTATTTATCTATCTACATCTCCATAAATTAGACTTCTTTCTTTTTGTTTGTCCATCCATCCATCCAGTTGAAGAGCATGAAGGAATGGAGTTGTGAGCCCTTCTTCCATGGCGGTGGCTCAACAACCAATGCAAGCAAACAAGCAAGCAAAGCAATGCTCATCATCCTTCCGCGAGAGCCCGAGTGAGTGAGAGTCAAACCGAGTAGGGTTTCGGAATCGCCGAGTGGGCGTCGTCGCTGGAGCCACATCGTAGCCGAATTGCCCACCAGACTGCTGTTAGACTGCTGTTGCTGCGGACTGAAATGCCGAGTGGTTGCAACCTGAGTTGAGTTGAGTTGAGTTGATGCCCACCACAAGGGACTGTCTGACTGACAGACTGACTAGGTTTGCATCACCGTTGTCGCACTACTCTCCTGGCGGGTGTTGCTGCTGCGGCGGGTGTGGGTGGGTAAGGGAGAAGGTATGGCGAAGAACGATTGCTTGACGCGCGTTGTGGCTGGCGTCGGGATTGGAGGAGCCGTCGGGGGCGCCTTCGGTGCTGTCTATGGCACCTACGAAGCCATCCGGTATAGGATCCCTGGGATGCTCAAGGTGCGGCATGTAGGTCAAACCACGCTCGGCAGTGCTGCCGTGTTTGGATTGTTTTTGGGAGCCGGCAGTTTGATCCAGTGTGGGAAGAATTACTAGCTTCTGTGGAGCGAATCATGCGTCAACGAAGATTTTGTTTAAACCTTGGTTGTCGCCTGAATAATACTCCTGGGATTGGCGAACGGATTGTAGCGCCCCTCGTTTGAATGGGGCCAAAGCGTGTCTTGATGTGCTGGAGCCACCCGTCTGAGTTTCTGCAAATTTTTCGTAAGCGTATCGAGATGATGCAAGACTTGGGAAGTTGAGGGTTCTGATGGCAATCAGGGTGTTTGGTAGGGGCAGTTGATGAAGTTGTGCTTGACATTCGCGATTTGGAATGTATTGCCAATGTCTTCACGGACATGAGTTAGTGAAATTTTTGTTGCATTTTTGTTTGGAAGCAGTTGGACTGTCGATGGATTTAGCTACAGGGTGGGCGTTGTTTTTTTTTTTTTTTTTTTTTGTCTGTTTATTATTCTTCATTGTGCGCCAATTACTGTCGAGATTCTCGGGGACACGTATCCATCGTGTTCAGAATGATATGGTGTGAACGCCATGGAGGAATGAATTGCTCATATTTGGTGTTGCATCATGCGCTTCAATGTTGTCAAAAATGGGAGTGAGTTTTCTTGAGTTTTTCCATTGCGACTTGGCTGTGAGTATAGTCGCTCTAAATGTTGCTTTCTTTGCGTGTAGTGAAACTGGATTTATTATACTTATTATTGCAATTGGTTTATCATTTCTTGATTTCTGTATCGTCATAGATTAAATCCATTATTGCGCAACAATCCCTGTGCCTAACTTTACCTCAGGCCGTATACTATTCAGTTTTGTACAACTTGAAATGTTGAAATGTTGACTATAAGTAGACCTTGTTGCCAGTAATGTAGTTATTTGGTTTGTATCGTTCACCTCTAGATTGATCCTTTCTTCTACACGCTAGGAACATCTACTCACCATATTCCAAGTTTCATATTATGCCACTCGTGCAAATAGGTTACGTGAAGCGGGGTTAGTTTCACAAGGTAGGATCAAAGGGTTTCGTTTTGTTATCACTGGTCATTGGATTTCTCTATTATTTTTGTACAATTTAAACGGTTCTGCTCAGGCAAGGATTCCAGCGGAAGGAAATACTGCTCTCACACACGCAGAATGCCAACTCTTACCAGATACTCTTCACAAACTCTAGAATGGGATGAACGGCCGCTAACGGTAAGTTGATTATATCCCCTGTACCTTCAAATGAAATGCAACTTGAATTTGTGTAGTAGATTTCTCATTTGGGTATCTGGTTAGTTTGTTTAGTTAGGTGGTGACCTCCCCATTCCAAGCAGTAGTAACGTGAAGGATATGTATAACATTCAACATATGTAGTGAAAGATTTAGTGTCTTAAATCACCTATTTTTAATTTGAATCTTTTAACTTTCTAACACGTTTGTTTGAATTTGCAAGATTATACAAATATATTTATAGTTTTGAAAAAAAAGATTAAATTAATTTTAAAATAATAGTTCAACATACTTGGTTTTTCATCTTATTGTCTTTTACAAAGTTATATTATACATAAATGTTTATTTGTCTTATATGAATTACATATGTTTTCTTTTTGAGATACTTGTTTGTCTTGTAATTAGTTTTAGTTGTATATATGTGTGTTTGTGTATATGTATTTGTATAATTAAATATTCAAACATATAATACTATTGTTTATATTGAAGGAACTATTAAATTAATCCATCCATTTTTTAAATTGATTTATATATCATTATACACCCCAAATTCTTGAATTTAATCAATTATAATGATGAGTGGGTTAATTTAGTAAATAGGTGGGTCAGTTTAACAATATTTGAAGAGGTTTTGGGATTAGGATTTAGGATCTAACAATTGATCCCTCCATTTGCTAAATTAATCTATCCAATATTATACCCCCTTCATTCTCAATACATAAATTTTACAACTCCATCAATTGTAATGGATTGATTCTCTAATATCTTATGTTTATTATGTGTATCAATAACTTAAATATAATTTTATCAAATCAAAGATTTGTTCTCAACAAATGTAAAGGTTGTGGCCAAATTTATGCAATATTAAGATAAGAATGTAATACTAATAAATAAATAAATAAAATTGAATATATTTGTTAGATTTTAGAATAATAGTAATGACATCAATAAATTTTGATTAAATGATGCTTGATTAATTCTAATATCTTGGTTTAATATTGTTCTTTTGTGAATAGATAATTTTTTTTTTTATCATTTCAATAAACAATTATTAAATTTTGCAATACAAAATAATACAATAGTATTATTTTGTTTTATATTATAAAATCAACAAGAAGCAACATTAAAGCTCATTATTTTCTTATATAAATTATTTGTTGAAGCAAGTCATGAGATATAATTAAAATATAGTCATAAATTTTCTTATTTTATAACAAAAATTAATTAGAGAGTTTAACTTGAATTATTTCTATTTTAAGCATATGTTAAATTTAAAAAATAATTAATCATCATAAATTTTGATGTCTATTGGTTGCAATTTGGCGAGTTTAAATCATTATTAAATTATTCTTCATAGCCTTACTTTTGCTCCTTGTATCATAAAATTGCCTTATAACAAAAAATTCTTACTTTTATGGAATATAAAATTATTTTACATAGAAAAATAATAATCTCATTTTACTTAACTTTAACAAAGAAGATATTGCTATAAAATTGAAAGTTGAGCAAGTAGATGTATTTTATGTAAATCTAAGACAGTTTAAATACCCAAAAGCCTACTTAGATAGACTATGATTTAAAAGTTTTACTAAGATCTTTTTAGATGACAAAAAAAAAAGAGTGTTTTTTTTTTTTTTTTTTTATTTTATTTTGTTTGTGGAAGTCTTAATCTTTGGAGATGGTATAATTTAATAATAATAATAATAATAAACCATAAAATTGACCAAATCATTCTTTTACCATGAATCTAAATATATTAGTTTATATCTTGAAAAATTATGATAAATATAAAAAATTAATTTAAAAAATTTAATGGTTATTTTTATCATTTAAAATAAAATTCTTAAATTTTTGTAAAACTATTTCTTTGAGGTGGACTTATTGCAAATTTAGGAAATAACATTGCTCATATCTTAGGAAAAAAAATACATTCTACCTCATCTTTTTATTTTATAGCATTTTAACTAATCTCCTTGATATAAATCCTTTTAAATAAAACTACTTAGTTTCAACCAATGAATGGATTTGAAAGATGTTGCCTCGTGCCTACTTCCAAAATATACAAAGACCCCTAAATTGTGAGATGGCAATTGGAGACGAGGTGATGGTGATCACAAACGAGGACGAAATGAACATGCTCTTAATTGCATGGCCGTGTAGGTGCGACTCTGCGATTGCACAGTGCTTGAGACATGTTGAATCTTTTCATTGTTGTGATCAATTCTGACACCAGCGATCATTCTGCTGTAAACTGGAGCTCGTTCTTGAGCTAAGGCTTTCATAGACCTCTGCTCCCTTAACGTTGAAACGATCTTGCATGGTGGAGAAATTCCTCATCGTTCGCTCAATCGAAATCGGGGGTACAACGCGATGTCACAACGTGGAAGTCTCGGTTCATTCCTTGATCGTCATGAAGCAGATGTAGTGTATCTGCAGCGTGCCTCTGCATTATGGTGTCGCCATACGCAGGTGTAGCACGCTCCGGCTATTAAGTGGGATACTGAATACCAGCTAGCTTCATGATTAGGGCTAGCCACTTCATCTTCCACCTTGTTTACACAGCTTTGTCACACATACTTCTGTGTTGAAATAAAATCAGATATTCCTGAACCTTGAGTTAGCTTTGCTACATTTTTAAGCTGTGAGAATGGTTACAAACATACCTGACGCATAGCGAATTTCTGCAGGGGATTCCTGGTTTTCAAATCCGCAAGTTTCTTATATTCTTGCTTTATTTTGTGTTGTTTATTAGGTTTTGCATTGACAGAAGTAGTCTCAATTTGTATGAAGTCTAGTCAAGATGCAAATGCAGCCCAAAACTCTAGAATGCTAGAGAGAGAGAACGACGCTGAAGTCCCATGATCACAAGTGTGTTTACATTTCACAAGGGAGCGGAGGTTTTTCTTGATGAAGAGGTACATCAACCAACTTCGTCACACATGATTCCTTGATGGCTGCCTTCTAGTTGATGTTGTTTTCTGCGTCGTCCCTTAGTTTGTCTCTGTAACTGGCATTATGTACTACAATCCATGTGCTGCGGGTCCTATTTAATTCATCTGCATACTCAAGGCCCCAGCACAAAACCTGGAGGTTTTTAGCTCAAGTACTTTGTAATTTGAATGTCACTCTAGAATGCACCGAGGCGGTCACAACATGAAAAGCTTCATTTCTCCTCTATTTTTATTTTTTATTTTTACTCTTTTGGATTGTTTTCCCTCTTTTAATTGTTCAAATGTTTAATGCTATTATTTAACTTCTGATCCCTTACAATTGGCGAATTTTTATACATATCGTTGCCTATGAAAAAGAAAGAGATTGAAGGATAGAAGTGGATATAGTTGTACAAGCTTCGACAGATAAAGAAGTCATCTCAGAGCATACTAAAGTGCTGTTGCAATAAGCTTGAAGAGACTTGTTGGTTCGTAGGAGCATTTTCTTGAAAGGTGTCTCTCACAACCGGTATGCTCCTGCCACAGTAGAATACTGCTCTCTGTTTGGTGGTGTATCATCTTCACGCTTGGGACGTTGGCCCAACAAAAGAAACACATCTGCCGGTTACTATTTTGTACGCGGACTCCAGGTACGCTCTGCACATGAAAAATATTGTTGTTTGAGACGTCTTCTCAAGATTGGCTTCTGGTACGTGTTCTGAAGGGAGACCTCATTTTCTGATGCCAAGCTGGTAGTCAATCTGGAGAAACGAAAACAGCAAGGATCCGTAACGCTAGCACGGCGGTGTTCTAAAATACATAAGAAATCACTATCACCGAAATAGATATGGGTTTAAATTGTTAGGATATAAGGACTTGCATATTTGCACTCTGATTGTGCTGTTTGAGCTGTCACAATGCTGGTTTAGTGAAGCCTACGCACCTGACTGGATTTTGCGTCTTCCACGACGCATAGTACGTTGGAGTTTCAAGTTTTGGCTGGTTAGCGGTGGGTCACTCGAAAGTATTGATACTGTTGATACGGAAACAGTCTTCCTCCCAAACCTCCTCGTTTTGGTTACTTTATTCTCTTTATCGTCTTGTAGGTTTGCAACCGTCTCTGTTCCTTGATCACATTCCAGATGATCATTTGGAGTATCTGACAGCCATCTCATTTTTCGTACCAGATTGGTGGAGCCTGGAGGTCGTCCTCTCCTAGGAGTGGACCTCTTCTGTTTTCTGAACTCTTTGGGGAGTTCTAAGGAATAGTAGTTAGCAGCAAGGTATGTAGACTTCCGCTTTCTTATCGATTTCTTAACCTCTGGATGTTTGTTATCAACGAGCACTTGGAGAATATGAGGTATTTCGCTGCTGCTGGAGAGTCTAGAGCATGGAGCGTTTTCATCAGCGAGAGTAAAGTCCTCGAGTTGTGACTCGTTTGTCATATCTTCTTCCAGTAGTAAGTAGCTGTCCACACATGTCTCATCCTTATCGCCATCAATTTCCAATGAATTCGGCTGTCTGTCATATTCTATTACCGCTTCACATGTTACTTGAGCATGCACACTTTGTAACGTTTCTCTCGCTGAGGGACTGTCAAGCTCGAGGTCTTTCTCAATATCTAGAATGGACGTGTGGGGTGAGAAGGCTTGAACACGTCGCAGATTTTCCCTGAAGCTGATTTTTGTTGCCCGAGTGGCGCAATCACTGACATGACAGTGTAGATCGCTTTCAGAATCATTATGGTGCACGCCGTTATCAGTTCCACCACTTGTAAGCATACCAGTCAGCAGCCAACATGCTGCTGCTTCGCTTTGTGAAGCAAGAGGAATAACATCGGCTGTACAGGACTCCCAAAGCTTATATGTTGAGCAGTCACCAATTGAGTACGACAGATCAAGAGTCGGAACTGATGACTTAGTTTGTGACTGAAAGATATCTGGGAAGAGATCTGGCAGACTATTAAATGTTTCGTCAGCTGAACTGCCTTGATCCGGGTCGTCGTTCAGCAATTCTGCGACAGCATCTGCATCTGGCAAGGTAATGTCTCGAAACCTAAGAGTAAACTTTTGTGACAACTTGATCTTGCGTGTGCTCATACTTACAAGTTGCACTATCAGTGATTTTATACTTCAAGAGTTCAAGCTGCTCCCTCACTCCTCTGACGACTATCTATTTTCCTCTTATGGACTTTATTTGGGATGCAAACCCTTGAACATCTGCAGCCGCATTCCGATCCGCTTAATTAGATCCTTGACAACAGAAGCGCAGTCGAGCAGGAAAGAAGAATCATTTCTGATATTTCTCTCTTGTTTCAAGTACTAATGGTGCAACTTACAGCTATAGCTGATGGTGAACTAGTTGAGAATTGTATCTTCGACCGCAGATTTTAAATTTTGACATATCAACCTCTTAAGAACAGCTTTGTCAAGAAAAGGAATGAATACAAAGGAAAGTTGCTTGTCTGTCGCATCCAGCATCAAGCCAATCAACTTTCTAGGATAATTAACGTCATTTTGTTCAGATTGTGCGCTTGAAATTGAATCGCCAACCTTCTGGATTCCCAAGAAGTATGTAAAACTCATGCAACAAGCTCTTACATATCTTTGAACACACAACTGGAGTTCGAAGAGGAAAGCTCGTCTTCATAACTAAGTCTGGTTGCTTCTAGCCGCTATTTTTAGGGAACCAAAAGCAGTGCGCCGCCACATCAAGCGATACTATCTAACAGAAGCTAATTAGAATTGTTCAAACATGTCACCTGTTGACAAGATATTGCCAAACGTCATCAGCTTTCACGTTGCCTCTCCCTGTTCACCAAGTTGAATGCTAACAAACGCATCAGCTTGCTTCCATCGAAATGCCACTATTACAGACTAGCTCCCCTATAATCTCATCGTTACAGTTCACTTTCGGGGGCCGTCCTTCATCATCGGAAGTCGACTCTCTATCTATTCGCTAGTTAACGAAGACCTTGCAGTTTTCACCTTCGAGAAACGGAAAACGACTTCTACAAGCTTCTGAAAACCTTTTTTTTGTTTTTTTTTTGAAGTCTTCTTCCAGTCCGCGATAGTCCGAGTTCGTGTTTGAAATTGAAGGAGGGGTTTCCGATAGACGACTTTCATCCAATAATATGCATACATAAGAAGATTTTGGATGATAGTGGGATGGTCATCCTCACGTGAACCTTGTGATATTCGCTATGCTGAAACTTGAATTGGGACATGAATTTTCATATATGAGTTGGGACGTGAAAAGTGAAGCTAAAATGGTGTTTCACATCAGTTTGGAACGTGAAGTGATGAGCCGACAAGAATGGTCAGGCTGCACTGATCAAAGATGGTGTTGACGTTGCGGCGACCACGGCGCTCATTTTCTCGACTATCCCGCACTGATGAATCTCTCCATGCCGCCTCCTGGATGTGTTATCATAATACAATTAAAATGTCTGCTCTCTTCACATATTGTGAGCATGCGTTGTGGGTAGAAATTCTGTCGACGATGGGATTGTAGGCTTGTTAATTGAACAGTTGAATAGCATAACCCGCTGCATTTAAGGGGTCGATGTTGTTCTATCATTTAGGTAGTACGGTATGACATTGCTAAAAGTGCATCTGCACATCTCGAGGGTCATCCAACCAGCATTTTTTTGATAGGATGCTAGAACACAGTTTCTTAGTGAATTGAACGACGAAGCGGCTGATTGACAATGTCCTGTAATTGTGCTGCTTGATGTTACACAAAACTGATTCTGCTTTTGTGTCACTTTCTTAACAAGATTATGTCTTACTTAACGTTCGTACTTAACCTCAGTTTTTACTCATGCTTTTCCACAAAATAATTCACTACAGACTTTTTTTCCTTCAGATTTATATTATGTCTCATGCGCATTAATCTCTTCGGAGGTGTTTTTGACAGTTTTTCATACTTTGTTCCTGCGAGAATGTAAATATATACATATATATATATATATATATATATGTAAATATATACATATATATATATACATATATGTATATGTGTATGTATGTTCTATTGAGGAATCTTAACAATTTTCGTCTTCATCTCATGGCGAAGATTAATACTGAAATAATTCGTTTGGAATTGTTCATATCTTTGGGGAAATGAAGTGCCATATGCACTCATGTTTGCAGGGGACTCCGTCGAAACAGTTCTAGGTTAATATACCATGTGTGCTTTTTTTACGACAGACAGCGTCTAGATGAATCAATGTGTTCACTCCATATTTCCTCTTCTTTTGCGATGGCATTTGTTTATTGTCATGCTTTAGTTCATGAATTCAGAATGAGGTAATTGTATATTTCCGCAAGTCAGCCTCTTCATCTCAAGTACTCTTGCGTATCCTGTGTTTCTATACAGAATCATTTTGAACCTGTATCATTCATGTTGCAACATAGCCCATTCCTTCTTGGTTGTCTGCAGTTATACCCTAGGAACTTTAACCAATAGATATGCACAGAATAGCCGACCAAATCCCTACATCAGCCCCTACACCTTAGAAATTGAATGAACCTAAAAGTTTGGTGATGCAATTTTGAGTTTGTGACAGATATTTTCCATGGACTCCAGTAGGATATATACATCACAACTATCTGCAAGACCTACGGCCCAAACAGAAGCCAGAAAATGCTGAAGCAATGAACCCATAGAACAAACAAGACTTCGAGGATTTCTGGTTAGCGGCACTCTTGGTTCAAGCAATTCTACGAGTCCATTGGAGGCTAGTGAACACAAGTCAATGAATTACACGGATGGTTTGTAAAAAGCTCTGTTGAAGTTTCTAATGGCAGTAAGTCAATGGAATTTCCTACAGGGAACTTGATTGCCCATAGAAAACTCAAGCTAACATTAAAGATGTATCTGAGGGGGATGATAAAACAGCTTCAGTGCTCAAGTTGGGGAAATTTGATCTTCTTTTATGGATGCAGAGGTCAAAATTCATGTCAACATGGAAGTAAAAAGTTTTGAAGACACTGGCAGACTAATTGGGACAATTTACTATAACACTTGCTGATTCACTTGTAGAAGGAACATGCTCACACAATGTAGCCATACCATTGACAGTAGCAATTACTCAAATTTTAATGCTTGATGGAGGTTACTCCAAGTTGAGTTGTCTTTTAGCAATATATTCCAATAGAGTGCAAAGGAAAGGAACATGTTTTTTTGACAATTTTAAGAATTGGTCTCTTTAATTCACATAATTTGGATTTGGCTATTCAATGCATCTTTTTAACTCACATAATTTGGATTTGATTACTCAATGTATTTCTAGTCTAAATCAATGTGATCTATTTCAATGATTTTTTGATTTGCTTAATATAACTTGATATGTTATTGTCTCATGAATATAATCAGTACTTATAAATATCTAGATAATAAGGGTTTGGTAGAAATAAGTAAAAGTATGTAAATTTGATAATATCTTATAAAGAAGCTTTTTAGAAGCTTTATAGATATGGATTTGATTTTATATGTATTTATAGATGATTAGTAGGTTAAAAACTTGGCCAATAAGTAAACCACAAATTGCACATATTAGAAACTTGTAGTACAAGCTAGCCATGTGGCGCATGTATAAAAAACTTGTCTTGCAAGTTAGACATGTGTCTTGTAAATTGAACTCATTTTGGAAGTTCTATAGAATGTTGCCATGTACTAATTAGATAGTATATAAAGCGGCAAGAGTAAGGCATTCTTTACTCTTCTCAACACTTTTTTTATTTTTTGTCTTATTTTAAGAATTTTTAATCTTCAAAATCAATTAAAATTTTAAAAAAAATCATTTTAATTTTAATATTATATTATCTTTGAATATATATATATATATATATATATATATATATTAATGACATAAGAATGTATTGACCTTTTATTTTTTTATAATCTATGTCCTTGATAGTTTAATGTTTTCTAATGTATGGTTTACAAAGCTAAATTAACCAAGTGTATTAAAGAGAAGCTGACACATGTGCCACCTACCTCCAAAACTGATATCCTATTAAAATTATTTCTTTTAATACCACCTTATTTATTTAGCTATAATTTTTTTTATTACTTCTCTATATTAATTTAACTTCTATAAAAATAATAAATAAATAAATATTATTTTTAAATCTAAATTTTTAAAATCTATAAAAAAAATGTAAAAGGTTACAATAAGACAATGATATAGAATTCAATTAAAGTTCAAGAAGTCTTTTTTGTATTATTATCAAAGATATGAACCTTGAAGAAAGAAAACCTTAATACATTCTTGTGTCACTAAAAAAGACTAAAAAATTACTCAAAAATGATATAGTATTAAACTAGATTGGCTATTGCCACAGACAAAAAGACTTTAAAATCTTGAAACAAGACTAAGGACTAGAATGGCATTAACAAGAGTAAAAAATACTTCACTCTTATCTCTATATATATTCTTAATTAGAGGCTAGATAGCAATGTCATATAGGATTTTCAAAACATGTTGACTTTGTAAGATACATATCTTAATTTACAAGGCAAGTTTTTTATATGTGCACCATATAGTTATCTTGTTTTGTAAGCTATCAACATGTGGTTAAGTTATTGAGTAGGTTTTTGACCTATTAATTATTTACAAATACATATAAAGTCAAAAAAACACTTATGAAGCTTCTAAAAAGCTTCTCTAAAAAATATTAAGAAATAAATCTACTTTTACTTACTTCTATTTGATCATATAGATAAATATTAAAATAAATATATATGTCTGTGACATTACTCCTTCTCCTCTCTTTCTTCTAAAGATGAATTCTATAAGCAACGGTCATCATATGTTAAAGAAATGTAAGATGCAACAAATTGTATTTGCCAAATATTCTAATCTATATTCTCTTTGAAGATGATTGATAGGTCCTCTCAACTGTCAATAGTGTCTAATATTGAAGAAAGAAGACCACCTTATTATTTGATCATTCTTGAGGCCTTTATAACTTCTTTAAAATAAAACATTTGGAATGATATCAAGAATGGTTCCAACATCTAATAAAATCACCAAACATTGGAAGTCTCTTCTAAGGTCATGATACCAAACAAGTTATATCTCACCATCTATTTGAGAAATGATGTGTTGTTCTTGAGGATCTTTATTTTGATTACGTCATCTTGAAGGTTATTATAATTGTAATATTTTGTTTAATAAGTCAGTAAGTGATAATTCTTAAGTTGAATCTGTTGGTTATTGATTTTTCATCTCCTTAATATTACAAATGTATAAAAGTACCAAACAAAAGTAAAAAATAAAATGTTATTTTTTCTTAGTATTTTTTTTTATAACAAAAATTTGTTATTCTTCATCTTGATTTTGATGGATGTCATTGATAAAAAATCTCAATCTTTTTTTGTTGCATTTGCAAGATTTTTTGTTGATTTCTCTGTACATTCATTAATATCATATTTGTACTAATGAATAAGATATTTTAATCTATTTTAGTATGGCCTTAAATTTAAGACTTCTTTTACTTCAAATTCTTGTTTATTATCCACTTTTAAAGAAAGAAGTGATATTTGTCTTTTTTCTAAGATATTCATTACCTTTTGTGGTTCAAGAAGAGATACATAGAATATAAAATGGATCTTCATAGACTCCAATAGATGTAATTGAAAAGCAAAAAGATTGACTTGTTCACAAATAAGAAAAGATTTAAGCCTATAATAGTCCAACTTGTCACAAGGATAAGTAGTCTTAATATTGCAATGAAATAGCCATACCTTATCACTTACATTGAAGTATGGTTGTTTCTTGTGATAAGTGATAAGGTATGGCATCCATTTTGTCATTCTTGAGCTTCATTTAACTATGCTTTTATTATTGAATGTAGTTCTAACAAATGATTTGTCAAATATTTTGCAGCAAGATTATCAACTTTTGAAAAGTCAAAAGTATCAAGTAATAGATGATAATCATAATTGATAAAAAAAATTTATATGTTGAGTATAAGAATATATTGAATTATTGTATACAAACTATGTCAATG